GAGCGCCAGGGGCAAACATCGAGGGATCCCCTGAGCTGGAGGGACCCGCAGGGATCAGTGACCCTGGCCCTGCACAGACACCCCAACAATCCCATCTGAGCGCTGTCTGAGCCCTCCTGGAGCTGCTCTGGCAGCCTCAGGGCCGTGCCCATTCCCTGGGGAGCCTGGGCAGCGCCAGCACCCTCTGGATGAGGAACATTCCCAAAATCCAACCTAAACCTCCCCTGGCCCAGCTCCAGCCGTTCCCTGGGTTCTGTCACAGGGAGCGGAGATTGGAGCTGTCCCTCAGCCCCTGGAGCTCTCCCTCAGGCTCCTCCAGACTCATCATTAGGAACCACCTCTTTTAAACCACCATTTTTAAATTAATTTATTAAAATATTTATGAAAACATTTATGAAAACAACAGTGCTGTAAAGAGCAATTTCAAAGATTAACAAGGCCCCAGTTTCCTGCTGTCCCCCCACAGGCAGAGGATGAAGGTGTTTTATCACCACATACATTCAGGTGCTGCTTCCATATAGAAACAGCTCCAGGGACCCAAACTGGGGTGAAGGGACAGAAGGAGACATTAAACATTGCCACAATTGGCTCTTTCCCTGGGGTTTTGCTTGTTCCCTCTCTCAAGGCAGCGTTTCCACTTGGACAAGGGCTCATTTAAGGCTTCTCACAGAAAAACCAGGATACTGCACTGAGATTGTGATTAAGGCCTCCCATTAACCCTTTCCATTGAAGAACCATAATTATAATTTCTCTTTTTATTCCCGTTTTGGCTAAGTTCCGTCAAAACCTTAGAAGGGAACATTAAATAACCTGGATCAAGAACTGGGAGTAATGAGGGCAGGCCTTTGAAAGCCAAATCCTGGAAATGTGAGCTTCTCACCCAATAAGTTACTTAACTGGAACACGACATAAACAAAGCATTTATGCAACACGGCATGGGCTGGGAAGCCCTGGAAGCAAGTTCAGGCAGTGCTGAGTGCTGGAGTTGGGTACAGATGTTCCAGGGGAGGAACAGCTGCTATTGAAGT